GTTTCCACAGTCACTTGACAACACCCTGAAGACAAAGCAGGTGATTGAAATTTTCACAATTTTCTATATTTCTATAGTATTGATCGTCAACGTACAAACGCTTTAGAAAACAACATGAATACATTTATATTTGGTTGTGTGCTGCTTGTTTCTGCAAAGTGAATCTAGCACTTGTTGTTTACACACCTGGTTTCTTAAGTTGATATCTGAGGTGGCAGACTTCCAACAGTTGTGTCTTGCATTGGACCCAATGATGCAGGCCCACACTCGTTTCCTGCGGTTATATTCGTGTTGGAGGGATGCATTTTCCGTGGCCCTGAGTCAACCACTTCTTTCCCTATCATTTTCTTAGTGTGCTTGGCGCAGGCCGAAGTTGACAAAGTGAATGCCAAGCTGAAAGCAAAAGTGTCTTGGCTTGCGACTGCCCTGTGGGTTACTTCTGATATCAAGAGGGTCAATTGAATCAAGTGTCTTACATAAACAGGTTGGTTGTTGATGTGAGCATGCCATATGAGATTCCAAGTCTTTTTGAAGACAACCACACTTCAGGGGCTTTACGATAAGACTGAAGAGGAGGACGAGGATGAGTACGCTGAAGCGGAAGGTGAGGAGGAAGAAGATGAGCTTGGTGGTGACCCAGTGGTCGAAATGCCGGGGTCATCAGGTTCGGGAAAAGCTAGGGTTGGAAAGGAAGGGGAAAAGGTTGAGGGGAAAGAGGCAGTAGAAGGAGAGACACAGAAAAAGGCAAAGTCACCAGAACCAGTGGTTCCAGAGAATGTTGTTGTAGCGCCGGGTGAGGGCGAGGTTAAACTAGCTGAAGCACCACGTGCCGAGTCACCGGCTTCCCCTCCAGCCATGGTTTCTGAGAAATCTAGCTACTAGCCTGCATGAAAGTATCAGAGAGTCATTTTCAAACCGGATCCAAAACACTAAAGGTATCAAATGGTTTCAAATGAATTTGAGCAATTACTTTTGTGTGAAGCTGTGCGCGTGTGTGCCCACTCCTCTTGTACACCTGCCCACGCCAAGGAAAAGAGATGGAGGCTGAAAGGGCGGAGATCATTGCCAAACTTCAGAAGTTGTTGGACAGCATATTATAGAAATAAACATCCGTGCGTCAGGGTTACTGTAGGGATTTGTTATAACATGTATATACAAAACACAAACAAATTTGAGCATACAACATCGCAGGTTTTTGATTGATATCTGCATGGGGTTCACAAAACAAAGACGATGGTTTCAAACATATGGTATGGCTGAGTATGTGTGCCCCTTTCTCTTTTTGAGGTTGCGGGCGACAAAGGAAAGAATCAGTTCGTTATCACCGCCAATTTCAGGAGACTGCGTTGCATGCAGAATTCTTCCACTGCATATGTTTGTATTGTGGTCGAGTTCATGATTTAATGTCTGTTGGAAAATACTTGTATCAAGTGTTGGATCTAACTTGGTAGGATCAACAGCAAGACCTCAGACTGCAGCGACTGACTTCCAAGACACCATGCCAGAAGAAGTGACCTCTTTGCCTGTTCCCCCAGAGCCTGAACCTTCTCTTTCACCAGAAGTTTCAACCAATGCCAAGCGTGAAAAGTATCAGCGCAAGCCACCACGACTTTCAGAGACCGCAGAGCTTGGAGAAGGTGAAATTCCCACAGAAACCAAGATTCCCAAGAAACCCAAGAAGGGAGCCCAACCAGCCCAGGATGAATGTTGCACTACTGGGTTGCCTGAGAACAAGGCAGGGAGTTTGGGAGTCAGTTCAATGGTACAAATTTCTTATAGTTTGTGGCATTTCTGACCCAAGAGAATGTTTTACATGCATCATTCATGTAGTTATGCGACAGGAAGAGGCGGAAGAGGATGATGAGTCCTACGCTACAAGACAAGACCAACTGAACTTGAAACCTGTACGGGGCAACAAGGGAAGAGGACGTGGCGGTAAAGGTCGAGGAAGAGGCAGAGGTTCTACTATCAAAGAAAAAAACAAAGCGGGAAAGATGTCAGATGATGATTGGTGGAACCAAACCTGGATTGATGAGTGGGGCCATCCAGATGAAGAACAATTCTCTGATGGCTATGGGGATTCAGGTTACTATTGGGACAGGTATGCATGGTATGAGGGCGCTGAGTCCTTAGAGCAACTTGAGCCCGAGACAAAAAAAGGAAAGGGGAAAAAAAACACCAGAAAAGAAAGAACCTTCTGGAAAGAGCAAGGTGAAAAAGGACAAAGATGCAAAGAGCAAAAAACCTGCCCAGAATGCCAAGACCAAGGATGAAAAGCACGAGGGTCCATCGAAGGTGAAGAAAGACAAGACAAATGCAATGCCATCAGCAGGGTCCACCAGCAAAAAACGCAAGCCAGCCTGTGAGAAAGCTGCTGACCAAAGTTCTGAGCCTGCGAAAAAAAAGAAAGCCAAGACAGCCAAGGCAGAAGAGAACCAGCCCCCACCACCGCCCCCACGACCGTCGAGACCTTTGATCAAACATGGGGGCAAGAAAGACATCATGGCAATCAGAAAATTCTACAAGCAGTACAAGGATGATGAGAGCATCACAGCAAGCAAAGACATGAAGGACCTACTGAAAGGAAACCTGGGGGTCGGCAATCTGACCGAATGCCGCCTAAACATTTACTGGCGGACCCCAGCCTGTGGGGTGACTTCAAAAACACACTCAAAAGACATAGCGCATTTCAATTTTAATCAAGACTTCACTGATGAGAACTACATGACGAAGTTGGCAATTACCCTGAAATGCGCTGAAATGTTTGTTACTTGAGCGCAAGAAGCCATGCCAAACTATAGAAACTGCATATGTGGATGCAATTCCAAATGATGTTCTTTCAGCGTTCTTGTCACTAAGAAGTAAAGAGTGATGCTTCAACATGCGTTCTCGTTTCCGTTTTTGCCCAGTCTGGTTACCTGTTTTTTTTCCCTCTTTGCCTAGGCTTCTACAGTGGAGCTTGGCCTGAAGAACGAGGACATCACCACGGATGATATCGTGAAGGATGGTGAGTTTTCCCTGTCCATGCAAGACTCCCTCAAAGAGTCAGCAAAGCTTGCTCTAGAAAAGTGGTAGTTCTTCTAGATCTTTGCTTTTCCAACTCTTGGCTTGGGGATTTTGAAACGGAGTGTAGCGACTTCGCAACATTGCTGGCTGTGTGCCTTTGGGTGGCCAACACATAGAGTTGGTGTAGGCTTCAATGGGGCCGCACACGTGTGTCAGCTTAGGATTGCAGGAGTTGGCAGAAGCCACTTAGACTTAGCCAATAGAACCCAGTGTTGGTCCTATCATTTTAAAACGCTGGTCACAGAGTCACAGAATTGAAACCTTGTTTTGCTTGCAGTGGCTTCCCAGCAAAGAGTCCGTGACTAGCTCAGCCAAGCCAGAACAAGACCCGACAGCCAGTGTGCAGGCAGTAGCTTCGGAAACAAAATAGAAAACATGTTTCTTGATTCTAATCTTATTACTGTTCCATGCGCTTATCAATATAGCTATAGCCAAAAAAATATCTGCCCATCATGTTGGCATTGATAAGGATACACGCTTGTTGCTTTGCACCCGCTGGCCCAAATCTGTCCTGAAGATTGCTCCAACGCAATTTAGCACGCCAGACCTGCAGCGTCAGACTGTCCGAGTGCCGAAAAAATAGGCATCACATCGCCAGGGCAAACATTGGCTCTGGGAGTTTGATTTCAGGGGAATGCTCTGATTTGGGGGCTTGCGGAATGAGAATGTATCTTTTTTTTGGCCACCCCTCACCAATAATTTCACAACATGCCGCACGTCCAACAACCTCTTATACCGTACTGTGGGGCTGCTGGGGGCGAAAGAAATTCAGGGTATCTCAAACGGACTTTTTTAGAATTCTGGTGATTGTGTTTTTGCCATGGCACATGCAAACGGAATCCAATGAATTATCACTAGTTCCTAGCCTTTTCATAGACTTCCCCTTTCAAGTTTTCCCATTATTGAAATTGTGATCCATGCTACTCCTCCCAAGGTCAGCATGGTTGTGGATGGCCTTCAGGCGCTCAAACGTCGGCGGAACCTGTGGGCAGTGCGGGCGGACAAGCTTAAGAGAGCCAGTGTGCCTGGCACGCTTGTGGTTGGGTTTAGCTGAACACTTAGCACTAAACAATTGGACGGCACATCCAAAACAAAGGTATCCAGATATTCTTTTGCAGTTTCCAGGGTTATGAGCAGTGTCTTTAGTTTTGTCATGGTGCACACCTTTTTGAATGAGTTGCTTTCGCAGCCCGTTTTCGTGAAGTAAGAAGCATGAACTGTTTCGTTGAAAAATCAATACTTGGGATCCCTTCCAACAAGCACGAATGAACTCATGAGATACTGATTTAAATTCTACACGTTCAATATCAAGACATTTTAAAAAATCAGCAAGAACAGGATTTGTATACTGTACCTTGGTTTGGGGTGAACTTCTAAGCTTTGATTGGCCACTTGCTCCGTCCCGGCGCCATGGCAACTTGGATTGATAGTCTCATCTGGAGACTGCGAGAACTCAAGTGTCCCAAGGCGTGATGAGACACTCATGTATATATGCATGCATATATCTATATATTGTATTGATATAATAAGATATACTATGCAAGATATATTATGGTACAATAAGATCCCTTTATCAGCTGCATGCCCATAGAGTTATTGTTGATGTGTTGATGCCCTGGTCCCCTTTCTTTATCCTAATTCGCCAACGTGCCTCGTGCCAGGAGTTTGCTCTTTGCATTCTCTTGATCACATGGTCATCTTTTGACCTGACTCAGGTGTGGCAGGGTCAGGATTCTATCTGACGGCATGGGACAAACATACAAGATGTATCATGGGAATTTCAATTCAAATGTTATTACACCAGCGGGGTTCGATTGATAAATTGATACCATTCAAATTCGAATCTTCTAGAATCAACCTCGGTCTCAAACCTCCATGGCCAGGAGTTTGACTATTTGGAGTACTTCGCAGGTGCTGGAGAAATAACGAAGCATATGCTAGCATCCAAATACAGAGCGGCAAGGCTGGACCTCTTGGACTTCACACCAGAAAGTCCAAACACGTCCAACTACATGGATCTCAACCAATCTGCTGGGTATGCGTTTCTATGGATGAAAAGAATTCCGTTGGTTTTTTTGTTGTGACACTTTAATACCAAAAAACATGGCACATAGAATTTGCAAAACCAATCCACAGTTTCAGAAATAATCACTTTATTTGTTTGTTGGTATTCCTTGCATACCCTTTGCGCCCAGCCCCTGCCTCCAGTCTCAGGTTGGGCATCATTGTCATGCTGAAGGCGATGGTAGGTGCATTCGCCTGCCATTTTGCGATAAAATGCTCCAGTTTTTGCCGAGTTAACGTGGGCACTTCGATGAGAAGTGCCTGTTGCGCCTTCGGCTGTGTTGCCTACAGCTCCATATATGAAGCCAACAAACTTCTTGAGAGGAAACCATCGTGGGATATCGTGGGTTAGTTTTCATTTTTGAAAGCTATCAATAACTAAGGTTGGATCCAATATTTTGATGTTTCAAATATCCCAATCCAGCTCTTGACTTCCCCACTGTGGCAGGACTTGCACGTTGGTCGTATTATGCACAGCCCTTGGTGGGGGTTGGTCTTTGGAACAACCTGGCGGGCCTTTATTGGAATTTTACCCTACATGGCGGTTTGTTCTCACTTCCATTTGTGATTGCGGGGGTCCTTATGCCGTGATGCCCTCAGATCACACTTTATCTAGAGGGTCGGTGTTCAGAATTATACTTGCAATCAAACACAAGAAAACGACAAAACACTGTTAGTCTCGTCATCAAAATAGACGATGGGTTTGGTGAGATTTTGTGTTCGGCTTAGGTGAACATAGTACGGTGGTGGATGAAACACTATGATGCCAAGACTGCCAAAAGGCATATTGGGTTTGCCAACTCGGCCATCATTCGCCGTCTTGACAAAGGCAAGTTGCAGGTGGAACGGGGTCCAAAAAAGTCGCAAGTGATTCAGACATGCGCCAAATATCAAGACCGTAGCGGGAAACTACGCTACAAAGGGACGTCTCATCTCCGTGACACCCAGTCACCTGTCTATAATGGTTGAACATGGTTGAACCGTGATTGGCTTTCCAGTTCTGGTTCTTTTTCTGTTAGAGATTGTTTGAAACATGATATTGGTTACTTCAACTGCAGTAGAGTCAATGCCCGTGAATTCAGAAGTGGCGACAGCAACAGGGGAACATAACATATATATACATGCCCGCACACCGAATGGTTTCAAGAGACACTTCATTCAATCTGTAAACTCACCACTGTATTGAACACAAACATCAAGCTTTCGTTTGGTCTTGGGTTTGTTCAAACTATTTTTGAACATATATATATATATGCATGCGTATATAGCGGGTAATATTGTAGTAGTTGTGGAATATGATGCAAAAATAAATATGTATGACTCAAACAAATACCCATGCACATATACCCACTACAGCGGACTGCCCCATGCCGAGGATATACACGCCTCGCTTTGCCAGAGCTATGTGTGACTTGGTGGAAGACCTCAAGGCAACTTGCCGGGGCCAACCCAAGATCATTGGGGATTCACCAACGGCATTTGAGACCATGCAAATGGATTGGGTATCAGATAGTGACATGTGGCAGTTTGTAGATTTCCAAGAGATCTATTCATATCTTAGAGGGTCCAAACGGCTCCAAATTCCTGATATGTGGCGGCCACTTGTTCCGAAAAAGCTCAATTAGAGGAATGAAGCCTTCCAAGCTTCCCTTTGGACCTGGGTTTCCTCCATCGAAAATCAATTTCTGTTGATTTTTTCCTATTTTTTAATGGAAAAAGTCGGGTTTGATGTCACATACGATCGGAACCCGTGATGAACCCATGATTTACCCATGACAACCCATGATTTAACTTAAGATACCCTGGGTTTGGGGGAGGAAACCCTAGGTTTTTGGGAAACCCTGGGTTTTTTCAAACCTGTGATTTACCCGTGACCAACCCATGATTTACCCGTGACAACCCATGAAAAAAAACACGGGTACAAGGCCCAAAACTATCTTCAAATTTGATTTGATTTCGATGGGTTTTTTGTCACTCAATTGGTCATTTCAACCCATTTGGCCGGCTGGAAATCGGATCCCGCCAACTGGAAATCGGATCTTGGCGATCGAAAATCGGATCTTTGCGATCGGGAATCGGATCTTAGCGATCGGGAGTCGAAATTCCTGATATCATAAGTCATAATCTATAATATATTACAATTGTATTTGCTATATTCGTTGTTTTCTTAATGGCCTTGTGCACCATGCCATGGCAATCCTATACCATATGCTTCAATATGTTTAGCTTGGAACCGACGCCATTTTGAGCCTTTCCAGGTCAGTTTCACCAATCATTCCTTTGGTGCCATGTCCAGTCAACAAGCTAGTGTTGATGGCAACTCACACCAGTGGAGTTGTGAAACTTTGGTTGATGGGTTGGCCCATGTTAAGAGTCGGAGCCAGCCCCCTGAAGACGAAGAAGATCTTTTGAAGAAACTAGAGGATACTACTCATGTGAGTTTGTTTTGAAAGCATTGTGACTCACTTAGAACCTGAGCTGAAACTATATCACTGTGATAAAAAATAATCATACCCATCATGTGCAGGAGCTTGATGCAAAGCTTTCGTTGGAGAGGGAAACCAATTCCAGTCCTGGATCTGCTGCCACGATCTTAGATGTTGAACGCTATTCTTGTAATGGAAAAAATTAGAGCACAACTTGTTGGCCCACCAGCGCAAGGCTGATGCCCAGACGCCTTCACCACATTCGCTGGATACTCTTCCAGTTCACACCTCAGGTCCAATGTGGATAATCCAGCAGCTTCAGTTTTTGATGGTTTAGGATTGATTTTTGGATGCCTATTGGTTTGACCCCAGGCAACGGAAGATGAACTCAAAGCAGTCCGTGGTGCTGAAACTCAGATCATTGGGACCGTAGTTTTTGTTGTAGATTAGTTATATAGTGTTCTTACAAGTCTTTTTGATATTGACAACCACTTTTCTTTCAAGTATATAAGCTATATAAGGTTCATGATTCTATAAATGTAGCAACACTAAGGAAGATACTTCACAGAAGGGCACTGTGGCTGTACCTACACCTGTTCGCAAACGGCATGAGCCTCCTGTGTTGCCTGATACTTTGAATTCAGGGTCACTGCAGCCCGAAAACAAGAAGGCCAAGACTAGTGGTGAAAATGAAAAAGATGCAGCCCAACCAGTGACCCCTAAGCAGGGAGAGCAGGAGCCAAGTACGTTAGAGGATGCAGAGGTTGCCACGGCTGGGAAGCGAATGCACCCCATAGGGATGACCCATCGACAGGCCCAGTGGTTTGATATTAAATTCGTTCACCAAAAAAGTCAAATGTTTTTGCCCATTTGGTTTGAATGCTGGGGACCACATTGTATGGGTACAATCTGTTAAATGTTCTCGGAATACTCCATAACATTGTTAATCATTGCAATGGGTTTGGTACGGTTTCCAACATGCACTGCCCCATACTGCCCCCTGAAGTTTCTCTTACGCCGAGCGGCCAAAGCTCGCCTTGACCGGATGTGCAAACATCATGGCAAACGCCAGAATCTGAACGTGCCTGAGTGGCTTCAACGGGAGTGGAAGAATGGAGACAAGAATGAGATATCTGACGTCCTTCGAGAGTGCAACTTCTCCAAGGATACCAATGCCCCATCAATTTCAAAACATTTTTGGTCAGTACATCAGAGAACTGTTCTGAGCTATTTGTTTTTTTAACCATGTTTTCGCCACCTGTAGCCATACACTGCTGTTGTTTGTAGGAGGTGTTTATCTCTACTATGCAGACCATCATCTCGAAGAAGCAATCCATGCGAATCAAGAAGGAGGAGGGCTGGTACTCCGAGGGCGAGATGAAAAATGACTTGGGATGGTCCACGTAGCTACCTTATCAAAATCCATGATGAGTGGCCAACTTCTTGAGTGGATGTTTCCATACTTGTTTCAATTTTAATTTTCGGTGCCTGTACTGCGAAAACCAGCTACATTGAGGTCAAAGATTGCTGGTGCAAAGACCCGTTGCCTTGCCATGCCGGAGACCCATGTCAGGCCATAGCAAGTCAATATCAACTATATTCTTCAGTTCTCTCACTCGTGTCTTCCCCGAGCCTTTGATACTATAGATTCTATATATAAATATTCTAGCAGCACCCTGTGCCAGGAACAATGCTTACGACGGGGTCCAGGAGTTTTGGGTTGTTGTTCGTGAAACTGGCGAACGAACAACGGAGACCAGCTACGAGGAGATCCACAAGAAGAATTCCAAGGTGCCCGGCATTTGGTGAGGATTCTCCTTTGTGTCCACTGCAAAGTACCACTTTCCACATCATGCCTGGCAGCAGGCTTCCTCTGAGCCGCAGTTCCACTTGTCTGGTGACAAGTTTGCGGGCTTGGATGCCATGGAGGACCGGGAAAAAAAGGAAGCTGCACTGGCAATTGAGGATCCAACCATGATCGATATGGACAGGACTGGTTTTGAAATTGATTGAAATGCATCCTGGAATATATCCTATTTCCGGAGTTTGTTCCAAGTAGATCATGTCAGAAAAAAAAAGTATCTATAATATATAATCCAAATGTTTTCATCTCAATGATCACTTTGATTCGGATGTCATCACAATATTAGTGGGCCCTGTCAGGTCCAAGATGATTTGAAGCGCTTTCTTGAATCGATGATGTCTAAGTCGGGGAAATTGCGTAGCCTTGCCCGGGATCTTCGCAAGAGCTATTCCCAAGATGCTGCAGCTATGCAGCCGCTTTGATTGAAAAATATGGAAACCTCAACCATATGTGTACTATATATATATTATATACATTCATAGGATCTACTATAATGTTATCTACAATGGTGCTATGTATATACTTCTTAAAAAGTAAGCTCCCCAAGATCATATATAGGGTCCAATTTTCTATGGCCGCCTCTTGAACCCAGACTCCCCGCTGCAGCCCAGGTGTGTGCCGGCCTTGGAGGCAAGCTTCAAAGAAGTTGATGCTGCATATGATTCCTGCAACGAAGCTTGGGCCAGAGGGGAGGCTGACAAGTTCCGCTCGACAACGTTCCTGACTTAACTTTTGGAATGTTCAAATGTTCATGACAAAACTGATTTGTGATACAAGATCAGCACATCATCAAGGTACCAGTTTTGGAAAACACATGGGTGAAAGTTGAACTACATGGTTCTCACAAAATGCGAGGTTCATTTCGATGGCAGAGGACCGCATGAAAAAGGCCACCTTCACGTGACCACCTCAAAAACTGCTCATTGTGAATTGGGAAGAGCCTTGATCTAGCCCTATCACCTTCTTGCTTATTTTCATCACTGACTGACTTAGGTGCAGCAAAGCATTGGCCGTTGAGAACAAAATCAGGACAGCACGCTGTCAAACCATAATGAACAGTTAAGGGCAATGGCTATAGTGAAACAACCCATGATTTGATCGATCTGCTCCAGCTCCATTCTGTTACCCTTCTTTTTCTAAAAATTGGAAGAAAACGGTCCAATGCATTTCTGCAGGAACGCGAAGAAGTACTACACCAAAGATGGGAGGACCGCCAATGCAAAGCCTACTGGATCGATACCTGCTTCTACCAATTCTCAGAAAAAACCGGCGCGAAAGCCGAAGGGTAAGGCAAAGTCCAAGCCTTCCAAAGTCAACAAGTGATTCTTTGGATCTCTTGCCATGTGGCCACAGACTTTTAGGAGCTCAGCAGATGCACACACAGTGGACGCAATAATTTTTAATTTGTATCATTTTATGAACATGAAACTTATGAAACATAGATTTCTTTAAGTGCCTTTAACTGTGTTTGGTTACTTGGCTTGTGTGTGGGAGTGCGAAAGCAAGGGTCTGAATGGTCCTTTTCAAACTTTTCTTTTGGGGTTTACCAGGGCACCTGCAAACCAAAGCGGGTCCCAGACACAGTCCTGGGCAACTTGAGCTGGCAATGTGTCCAGTAATCCTCAACCTGACGGGGTTGCGTGTCGCAGTCGGGAGTGAAAGGGTGAGCGCATTTGTGGGCCCATTTGTTGGCGCATGTTGGCAAATGATTTTTCACCACTTGGGCAGTTCAAACAACTTTTCACTAAGATTCTATGAAAATAGTTTCCTACTATGTCCCGTCCTTTTTGACCATTGTTTCCCCGAAGGTTGGCCCCTGGGTTCTCAAAGCAACCTGCTGCCAGGTCAGCCTGTGGGCAACGCACTTCGAAACTTCAGTGAGGACATAGGACATGGCGTCAGCACCTCAAACGGTCAGGACACTGGTCAGGAATGCACATAATTTGAAGGTTGCAACTCGCCTAGTTCCCGCTGCTTATTTTTAGCTTTGGGGTAGATGCCCAAACCCCATACATGTCCCTATGCAATGCTCTGGCGATTTTGACGATGATGACTGGCTAGTGGAGCTGTTGAGTTCCCATCGGCATGTTCCCTAGCTGCAAAAAGAAAATGTAAAAGACTTCGAAACGCATCAGCCGTAGGGACAAACATTTTGAACAACGACAGGTTTTTTGTGATCTTTTCTGGGGGAACTCCCAAGGATGATGATTATCCTTTCCCATGGAAAAAAATCTTTGAAGAGAGATGCATCTGGTTCAGCCCCGTCGGAAACAACAGCGGGATCTCGGAAACGCAATTTAGACACTGTGGGCCTACCAAGTGTGCGTAGTCAAGGGGTTCACCTTTGGACTCAACGCTTTGCAGATTATGTGAAACGATTTCCAGAACTCCAAGATCTCCAAAACAAGTTGAATGAGCAGTTCCCTGGACAGATTCAATTTCGATTGCCTCGTTTGGGCGCTCTATCAGGAAGCGTGGTGCAGCATGCCACGAATGTCATTGAAGAGTTGCTCCTGTCACAATCTCCTTGCACATTTAAGATCGGTTTCACCCATTGTCCTTTATGGCGATGGGGCAACAAACTATACGGTTATGTGACTTCCAAAGACAAGTGGTCAACCATGTTCATTCTCTATTTGACCCCAGAACCTTACAGCCCATCGATGTTGGAAGCGGCGCTCATCGATAAGTACAAAAGACCCTCACTTGAATTATATATATATACAATTTTCCACATCAGCGTTTTTAACGCAGAACAGTGAAATCTATGTTTGCCGTTTTCAAAATACCATACCGGGACCCCTATAGATTCATTCCACCCACTGCCAGCCAAAAGCAGCCAAGGCACCAAGGGGTGCAAGAACGAAAAAAATGGTGGCGACACATGCCAGTGGAGCGGTGAGACCTCGGAGAAACGGCTCTACATGACTTATGTTGTTTGGAGGTCTTTCAAACACCCACCACCTGTGAAATAAGTTTCATGAGATGGGTGATATTTATACATCAGTGAAAAAGATGGTGCTGGCCCAATGGTGGCCAGGGATGTTCGGGATCGACCGCGCGGTGTAAAAAAAAAAACTATGCAGTGCAGTCTTGCGTGTGGTTTGTTTTGCTGTGTGGTGTTTTGTTTGGGACACCTTGCCCCAACACATTTCACACCGATCCAATTGACTTTTCCGATTGACTTACATGCAAACTCTTCTCACATTACAAGTACAACTCCGGAAGCTTTCGGCTAACATTATATATCTGATTGCGGATGCCCATGAAGCAATGAAGAAATAATAAGTTTCCCCTACATCCAAGCGCTGCCCTTTCTATATCTATTATATGTTTATCTTTTTTCTCTGAGGCGTCATGCGCTTCAGTGGTCCGGGCGGCCAGAGGGTTCGTGGAAGATGTAGGGGCACCGGCTGCTTCGAAATCCGGGGGTCTTTTGGACTTGGCCCGACGTTCTGAAAACAATGCTGAAAGGGATTGCGCCCGGCTGATGGTAAACCAGTTTGAACTAGGCTTGCCTATTCCCAAAACCAAGTTGGACACAGGAGTGCCCGATGATGACTTGTCAGTGCCTGTTCTTAGATTGAGAGATTGGGTGGACTTCCTGGTGCGTGGCAACCACACCCACATTTTAGTTGGCTTGAAGAAGCCGAACTGGAAGCGCGAAGAAGCCATTCTGTCAGCCTTCTGGGCCAACTTTGAAAGGCAGTTTCCAACGCACCCAGTTTTTGAGAGTGCCCGGCAAGGCAATCTAGACCTTGGCAAGACTTTTCCAATGGTATTTCATGGCGATGAAGGCAGAGGCAGGAAAAGACTACCGTTTTTGGTTTTGAACTTCCACTCGGTTTTGGGCCGTGGCTTACAGGTTCACAGCAAGAAGAAGCCAGGTTGGATTAAAATGGCGCCAAACTATCATGGACACACCCTGACGTCAAGATTTCTGCTGGCGGCCCTTCCAAAAGCTGCATATACAAACGAGCATGGGCATGTCTGGGAGAGCCTGATGGATCTTGCAGCCGACGAAGCGCGGCACATGTTTTTCACTGGCGTGACAGATCTGATATCGGGACGTGGCACCTTTCACATGGCCATGCTGCACATCTGCGGCGATTGGCCGTGGCTCGCAGACAGTGGTGGCTTTAAAAGAAGTTATCGGAACGTGCAAAAGCATAAGACAAGGACAAAACCGCCAGTTGGAATATGCCACATGCGCGCTGCCGGCCAGATAGGCTATGACTTTGAGCAGCTGAACACTGACCAGCCGGCATGGATTGCAACTATGTTCACTCAGGAACTCTTTTGTGAAGGTTTCGACCCGTCGCCATTTGTTAGAATTCCTCATGTACCTGGCCAAACTGGGGCTCTGTGGTACTTTGATGTATTTCACACTATGCACCTGGGTGTTTGCAAGTACCTACTTGGTAGCTGCCTCGCCCTGATGTCTGAGGTGGAACCAGGATCATCTATCGATGCCAGATTTGACAGCCTCAGCTGTCGGTTCATTCGTTGGTGTAAAGAGAGCAAGCGGAGACCACATATAGCCAAGCTCACGAAGGAGCTCATTGGCTGGCAGGTGCAAACGACCTTTCCAAGCGGTACATGGCACAAGGGCGGACTGTCCAGTGTATTGATGGATTTCGTGGAGCATGCCTACGAAGCCAACAAAGGCTCTTGGCCGCGGATGTTGCAGTCAGCAGGGCAAGCTGTTGTCAATTGCAATGCATTTTTACGAACACTGTATGCTGGCGATGCTTGGTTGAGTGTGGGGCAAGCTGAGAAAGCTGCGCAACATGGGCTTGACTTCTTGCGTTGCTACGCGGGTCTGGCCCGAATAGCTTTGAGAGAGCAACGCTGCCTCTGGGTTTTACAACCCAAGCACCATGCTATGCATCACTTGGTGTTGTACCTTTGGAATTGCAGCAGGAAGGGAAAGACCCTCAATCCACTTTGTATGGCAACTCAGGCAGATGAGGACTTCATCGGTCGTCCAAGTCGCTTGAGTAGACGGGTCACAGCCCAGCCCCAACAGATTTGCAATCGTGTGCTTGGCCGCTACCTTCAGAGTGCCTACGCTCAGTGGGTCAAAGCAGGGTACATCATCAGGCCAAAGCACGGCACGAACAAAGTTCGTTGATTTGAGCCATTCCTTCCTGTATTCCTTCTTATATCCTACTTTGGGCAGCGCTTGGAAAATCTTAGAAATTGAATTCCTCCATATCCCCTGTAAAGATTTGTGGGAATGAGATTAAATGGGAATATCAAATGTTCAAGGCTGAGGCGTGCACAGAGAGTGCTCTGCGAAGTCGAGCAACAAAATGATAGCATCTTTGCTGCGGGGTGAAATGTGGTGATTTGGCAAACCCTGGTTTTCATGTTCAAAACTCGGGTTTCAACTCAAACCCGACGAATTTGTCGGGTATGGAGGGACAAGGTATGTAATTATAAGCATATACTGAATTGGGAGATCCTTTTAGTGTGTTTCTTTTCTCATGTTTCATGGCTTCATCATTTCTCTCGGTTCAATGCCTCCAGGACTCTCGGCGCCTGGCCTTGCTAACCAGCTGCGATGCCTTAACGCGAGGCGGGACCTGGTGAGTGAAAATATGGATTTCACATGATTGATCCATTAAAACATGGACATCCTGGTGACTTAGCCATCAATTTTACTATACCATCAAAATCACACTTTGGTGACTTAACCATGAGAACATGTAACATGAACATATTGATGTAACCAGGGATTAAATAAAGAGGAAAAATGGTGATTGAACCAATGAACATGATGAGGTAACCGATAGAAATGGTGATTTCACCAACAAGATGGAGGTCTAGCAGTCTAGCATACCAATTTTTGCGAGTCAAACATGAAGAACACGGATTGAAGCAGGCAGGGTATCAACTCCAACTCGGACGGAGTTTTAAGCACAAACAGGAATTGTGGATTTGACGCAGAGGGAAATATTATATATGTATATACAATTCACATATACACACAATAATATGGATTGAACCAGAATTTGAAACGAGATTTTCATCAGGGAGAATCCTCAAACTTGACTTATAACTAATTATGGGGGATATTGCTAGCAAACTTAATACGTGTCAACCATTAAAAAGTTGGTTTGCAGGCAAACACTCGGATTACGCAAACACTCGGATTCAATAAGCCAAGGTGGGGATGTAACTCAGAAGTTTCGAGGATTTAAGCAGTAAAACCGGGGATTTCACTAGCACAAAGGCAGGGGACTGAACCAACAACAGGCGGATCTAGGAGGTAGAAATATGTTTTTTTTGAACATGAATACGCAAATTTATACATGTGTCAACCTGCAGAAACACTGATTTGACCACGCACAATGAGTACAATAAGAACACTGTTTTTTGTTAGCCCGTTCAAATAGCATGTGTTGTTCCTTTACACAGATAGCACCGACTTCACTGGCGGGTTCCTCGGCATAATGAGTACAATAAGAACACTGTTTTTTGTTAGCCCGTTCAAATAGCATGTGTTGTTCCTTTACACAGATAGCACCGACTTCACTGGCGGGTTCCTCAGCATCGATGTTTCTCTTGGCTATCTCAAGGTAGTTGTTGATACATAAATCTAGCACAGCCACGGATGATCTGGGTGATCCGGTTGTTTACCTTGTTGTATACTTCCCCATGCTTGCCGAGTATTTTGTGTGGTCTGTACCATGAGGAAATGGGTCAACAGTGAAGGCTCTAGGAAACTCAGCCCACGCTAGGTCGTAATTTGATGTGGGGCCCATCCCTCACTCGGAGACAAATCCTAGACCAGGATGTGATAGTTTAAGACCCGTCACCATTTATCATCCATCGTGGGTAATTCAACCTATTGATCTTTTCCTGGGGATATCCATTTGAACATGTCAGAAGCATTTGGATGGTAATCCGTGTTTAATGAAACAATGATCAAATAGATATCAAATAGTCTTGGAATATCATCCGTTAAAGTCCTATATGATGACATATCCTACGGTTCATCCAAAAAATATTCCTTACATAAACCATCATAAACCCATTTCATCCATTACATCTTATTATATATGTGTATTACATATTTATTACATATACTGGTTGGTGGTTTGGAACATTTTTTATTTTCCATAATATCTGGGATAATCATCACAACTGACTAATATGTTTCGAGATGGTTGAAACCACCAACCAGTATAGTTGCCTAGGTATTTACGACCCATTTCTTTTCTCGGCCCAGATGAGCCGCAGCGCCTGACGGCCGTTCTGGCACTTCGCGCCTTGCTGGCCTGGAACCGGCTCTTGGAGGCGTCCCGGGACGTCGTAAGTTCACGGACGTCGGGACATCGGACGTTTTGGCGGACGGTTGAAATCCATGAAGACATAGGGAAAACATGGCGGAATCACTATAAATAATCCCTTCCTCCTAATACTAAACGCCGCCCCCCCCATTACTAAACACGGCAGGTAGTTTTTAGTATTAGGGAGGTATTTGTTATACTCTATTAAAAAATAAACCCTTAATAATAAAAACTATTTTTTCCGATCTCAAAATCAATTAAATTTCTTTATATAACGCAATTAAAATATTGCCAAAAATTGTATTTCGAAGCTTCCCCCTAGTATTAAATTAAAACCCTTCATAATAAAAACTATTTTTTCCGATCTCAAAATCAATTAAATTTCTTTATATAACGCAATTAAAATATTGCCAAAAATTGGATTTCGAAGCTTCCCCCTAATGTTAAATTAAAACCCTTCATAATAAAAACTATTTTTTCCGATCTCAAAATCAATTAAATTTCTTTATATAACGCAATTAAAATATTGCCAAAAATTGTATTTCGAAGCTTCCCCCAAATATTAAATTAAAACCCTTCATAATAAAAACTATTTTTTCCGATCTCAAAATCAATTAAATTTCTTTATATAACGCATTTAAAATATTGCCAAAAATTGTATTTCGAAGCTTCCCCCAAATATTAAATTAAAACCCTTCATAATAAAAACTATTTTTTCCGATCTCAAAATCAATTAAATTTCTTTATATAACGCATAATTAAAATATTGAAAAAAATTGGATGTCAAAGCTTCCCCCTAATACTAAAATAAAAACATTAATATAAAAAATTAATAAAAATCGGACGGACCCTAATCATAAACACTCCGGGGTGAACTAGTTTTAGTATTAGGGGGGGAACCCACAAATGGCAGGTTGATTTTTAAATTGTTTTCTAAAGGGGAGCAATTAAAAATCAAATTGGCCAATCTGCAATTTTCTGAAATTGGAGATGGACGCCTGTTTTTAGTATTTGGGGGACGTTTAGTATTAGGAGGAAGGGATTATGGAAACAATAGGGGTGGTAAATCCAAAAAAAACGCTATTTGGGGTTGTGATTCTAGTGGGAATGACAACTGGAAGGGTTGTAATTTCATGTCCTATAAAACGTAAACAATATATTATTGAAGCATAAAACCATTTATAACCCAAATGGTTATATACGATTTATGAATGGTTTTAAGGTGGGTTATCATGCCGTAAATGGGGTGACTTACTGACTTATATCTGGTAAAGGCCCATAACCCTACATTTTTACCCACTCCCAAATTTAACGACACCATTTTGTAAAATTTGGTTGGCCTAAATCTCTTAAAGTCCAAAACACGAATAGGTCGGTCACAAAATGATGCTTGCATATGTTTGCATGAGCATGAAGTTTCAGCTAGTATTTGTTTGTCTTCTGGCTGTAGAACCCTCTTCAGATTCAGGAGCTCAAAAGATGAGGGTTTGATGCATACCGCATACCCAGATAATGGCAGACGTTTCATGCCCCGGAGAGTTTTCTGCATGGGACTTTCGATCCAGGTGTGCACTCGCAGATGTGCAGCGCGCAAAGCACATTGTCTCAGTTGATGGAGGTGAAGTTGACGTAAACGTTGAAAAAACATGAAAAAAACTTGGATGGAGGTTTCCTAAAATGGTGGTACCTTTGGGTACCTTAAATCATACAAGTCTTAAGACCATGCCGAATTGGGGAGTCACCATTTTAAAGGAACCGCCAGATAGGTATTTGATTGTTCTGTTTCATTCGGCGGGTATATAACGGTATATAATGATATTATACATTGTTTCAAAAACATATCGCTTGCGGGGTATCTAAGATTGGCAATTTTTGAACACACGGAGTGATGAGGATACTCGTTTGTCCAGAGATTTGGTACACCCCAAACTTGCCATTGTCTAAGATCTTGCGAATAACAATGGTTCGGCCAGTTTCGCCAGTTCTACGGGATTCTTTGGAGCAATCCGAAGGAAAGGTAAACAATGAAGGACAGGCAGGACGGTGGGAAGCAAGCAACAACCAGCTCCAAAGGAGGAAGCGACTATTCTATACAATTATATTACTCCATAATATGCTGGTGCTGCATGTGCTATATATCGCTTCTGTGGCTTTGTCAGAGGAGCTAACCCCTTAACCCTGTTCCAGCACCTTTCATGTTCTCTCCTTGCTCTACAGTATGATGGTTTCATTAAAAAATTCGTGGTGGCATAGATGTGAGTTGCTGCTGCTCCTTGTCCTCGGGGTGTTCACTGTACCGCTTGCCTGTTGTCCGCAGCACAGCATCCCTCTTATTTCAAAACATAACTATTTGTTCGAATACGAATTGGTAGGTTCATCATGGTTCATATATATTAATATATTAATATATATATATTATGTGTAGTAGTTGTTCCTGCAGCATGTTTGTCCTCAGCTTGCTACTACGGCACCTAAGGTTGAAGACAACAGTTTCAAATGTTCAAAATTCTTAGAATCTAGAAAAAAGCGTCTGCAATATTTCCTAGTTTTATTATTGGTCAATTTCCCCATCACTCTACTCCTAGTACCGCCCTACCAAGGTGAAGCGATCCATGTGCGACGTTCTTGGCGTCGGCGTCTGGGGCCCCTAAGTTTGGGACACTGCCACATTCTTTGGTGAAATCCAAATCTAAATCTAGATGTTTCAGAAGTTCTTTTTTTTGGTGCCGGGAATCTGAGAGACTCGCGACTGTTGTCATTGTTTGCATCATACTATCAACATATTATTGGATGGGGGGGTTGGGGGTGGGATAATAACGTCATTGGCATGTCCACA